GTGTTCGCAATATTCTTTATCATTGCTCGGTGGTTGATCCCTCGTCCAGGTGAAGGATTCTCTTCCTCGCCTACGGCCTCGGCCTCTGCCTCGGGGCGTGTCAATCTGGTAGTTATGGTATCCCGAGAAATTGCGCCCTTCGTGATGCGTATACGTACCGCTCCCGCGCGTCTTCTTCTGGACCGAAGGCGTCGCTTGGGTTTTCTCGGTTTTCTCGGCTCGGGGCGCCTGCTTCGTTGGCTCATGCCACTTTGCTAGCAACGCCATCTCTTCTTCATGAGCGATGAAATCCGAAGCTCGGTGCAGCGCGTCGCGAATTGTTGTTGGTTTAGACAGGTTCAACTCTTTCCTGAATTCTGACTTGTACCAGAGAGCTTTCTTCAAAGCCGAAAGGGCAGCTACATCCGTGATTCCTTCGACCTTGGCTAGTGTCGATTTGAAGGTTGTGAGGAAATCTCTTAACGGCTCGGTGGGCTGTTGAGATAGAGACCACAGATCTGCGTCGGAGGTTCCGGGGTCGATGAGCACGGAGTATTGCTTGAGGAAAAGTGTCGACAGCTCGTCGAAACTGTCAATCGAGTTGCGTTCTAATCTTGAAAACCACTCTAAAGCGGGTCCCTTGAGGTGTTCCACGAATAGTAAGCATAGACCAGCATCCTTCTCCCCGGGCTTGAACCTGGCTTGGGCCACGGATATCACGAACGATTTGATGTGACACTTCGGGTCGGTTGATCCGTTGTAAGAGTCGATTTTGAACTTCCCCAGATTGGACATCGTCATTTCGGAAATTCTTTTGGTGAAAGGCGTATTCCGAGACTCTTCCAAAATTCGGTCAATGTTCGGTGCGGAGGATGAAACGCTATGTATCTGGGTTTTGACGAGCTTCATATCAGCTTCCGCCTTGGCTAGGGAGGCTCGGATCTTGCTGAGCTCGTCTTCTCTTTCGGATTCTTCGGCCCACTTTATGTTTTCCTCAGTTTCTTCGTCATCGGTGAGATCAGTTCGCTCGGCGGAATTAGCTCCGGCTCGGGTGCGCTCGTCTTGCAGATCATCCGCCTCGTTCGTCAAGTCCACTGCGTCTGGCTCGGTGGGATCATCCTGATTCTCGCGTCTGGCAGGGTCGGCTCGAGTTGCGACTCTAGTATTGTCGGTTGGTGTCACGAACGTGAGTCTTGTTGGGTTGATGCTGGGCAAATCCCTCCGGGCTCATGGCGGCCGAGTCTAGAAACGCGTGGTTTTTTGTTGCCCACGGGTTGCGTTTTCGTCGATTCGCTGCGCCAAGGTTTTGTTAGCTTTTTCTTGGTCGTCGGCTTTCTTCTGGAATTTAACCATCATATCCTTCAGTTCGGCTAGGGTCGCTGAGATTGCCGAGTCGGCCTGAGGATTCTGAGGGTTCGGAGGGTTAGGGTTCCCTCCTCCGGCTGGTGGTGTCTGACGATCGTCTTCGTTCACCATCCTCTCTGGTATTCGAGTCCTGCGTTCTTAGGGTAAGAGAATTCTAAAGTAATCCCCACAGACGGCGCCAAACTGTGGAAGTCGAAACTAACACAATCGAGATTTGTCTAGGGTTTTATTTTAGGGATACGATAAGCGTGAATTCTCAAAGAACAACAGAAAACAATTGTAACCAAAGATGGTGTTCTTGATTTTATTGATAAAAAGAGTAGTTTTGATCGTACAAGAGTTTGATCGTAAAAGAAAAAGGTGTTCGTGCTGTAAGAGCTTTGTGTAGTATAAATTCTAGAGCGATATTGCTTGTTTTCCTATGAGAGCCTTGAGTCTCTTTATATAGCGATCATAAACCACCTCTCCAGCGATATTCTCGGAAGATTTCCATTTATCTTGAAGTCGGCTTAGAGTATCGCGGATTTAGGATAATTTCCTTATTCTTCGGAGTTTCTTGGAAGATTTCCTGATTCGAGTTGATCCTTCGAGATTCTTCCTTATCATTTCCGGGTCTATCGGAAATGATCCTTCTTTTTTGGAAATGACGCCTTGCCTGGAAATGGTACTTTGAAGACGAATATTTACTAAGTCTTTGCCTCGGGTGATGATGGAGACTTAGCTTCGGATAACTTGTGCAATCGGCTCGGAGATAAGAGAAGCGCGGCCCGGGTTTCCGAGGGAAAGCGGCTCGGGCACACGGAAGGAGCCAGCTCGGGCGTGCTGGTGTGAACCAGCTCGGGTACTCGAAGAGAGCCGGCTCGGATTCACAAGCTTGCTGGCAGATCCCGAGCAGGCTACGGGCGTTCCCCGAGGCGACCGTTGTACTGACCCGAGGTGAATGACACTTTGCACCGAGGTGATGGCTTGCTTCCTCCGAAGTGGTTGGTATGCTTCTCCGAGGTGCCTTCAGAAGTTCCCTGAGACGTCCAAATCCGGCTCGGTGCTAAGGGATGGAATCCGACCCCAACAAATACTATTAATAAGAAAAATAAATAAAAAATGATGTTTAATTCTCACGAGATGGGAATATATGGCGGGATGGGTTTGGATTGATATAAATATAGGATTGTATACCACGGGTGAAATAGTAGAATTAACAATAAAATGTGATATTTATTGTTTGGTAATGTACAATCAAACATAATAAATGTGATGTAGCCAAATAAAAAAAAATATTGTTACTATAAAATCCAAATAATTCTATGTGAACTATGTAAAAGACAAAATAATATTAGATTACATAATATCGTAAACTAACGACTAACTAAAAACCGCACACAATCAATCGAGATTTATTTATCAACACAAACAATAACAATATTATACACAACAAATTCTACATTTTATAAAAAATCAAAAATAAATAAAATAATTAACCCGCGGTGTACCGCGGGTCATATCCTAGTAATTAAGTAAGTATGAAAGAGAAAGAAAAAATAAACCAAGTTTCTCCTTCTATTTATGATTAATAACGAAAATGCCATTGATTAAAAAAATTGTTTTCCTACTTCAATAAATCTGCGACACTATTCATTCCGGCGTCGATGATACTGTTCATCACCGGATAATATTTATCAACCACATAACGACACTGTTCATCTATGTGAACAGTGATTTTATTTACATGTTAAATGATATATTATCGTGATAAGTTCATATAATATGTGTTACATTCATAGTTATCGTGTTAAACAAGTTGCCATATCATAAAAAAATTAATATTTTATATTAATTTAGAATTGTGAATTAATATATATTTTTAAAAAAGCTTAACTAATTACATGATAAAAATATTATAAACAAATTACACAGAATGATAACGATAACAATAATGATAACGCACTACACATACTTGTAACGTGTTAAGATATTAAATATATCAAATAATATTACTATTAATCTGTTAATACATTAAATAGTATTATATATTGATAAATTAGGATGCCGACGAGATACCTAACAAATGATTATGTATTAGTTTAGATATTGATTTATTTATTTAACATGGTAAAGTAAATTGTATGTCGAAAATTTAACATTTAACACAATACAAAAATTATAAACATGCTATATAAAATATTAACAAGATACAAAATTTAATTAAAAGAAAAAGTTTTGTGTGAATTACATATTTTTTGTACCATGTTAATACATTACTAAACAAGAAAAACATAAAGATACAAACTTAATAAATGATTACTAAAAGATAGTTTAATAGATTAACCAAATTGTTTACGGTCTAAACAAAGTTTTATGGGTTAACGGGTACGTTATTTTTCTGGGACGAAATCCGAGACATCCTTCACCATATTTCCTTATCTCCTCTTCCAACTTTGCCAAAAAAAAGTTTAATCATCAAAATTTTTCATTAATGACCACTGACAGCTCGCCGGGTTCATGAACTTCCAAACCCACATGATATCTTGCTTTTGTTACTTGAATGACACCACAATTGAACCAAAAATTGAACCATAGACTCCGCCGGTATCCAAAACTGCTGTCCATGGCTTTACCCATCACGGAATTAAAAACTCACTCCATTTAGATTTTGTTATTTCAAGTTCACTGAGATGAATTCTTGGCCGGAGCAATTTCTCCGGAAATGTGCAACGAAGAGAAGAGAGAGGTAAATGTGAGAAATTAAAAAATTAAAAACAAAGAGAGAAAGAAAGATAGTATAGTAATCTTCTTAGTTTTATTACTGTAGAAATAGTATCTATTTTACTCACCTAATTTTTCAATCCTCTGAGCATATCCATTGATATTTTCCATATAATATTTGAAATGATTCCTTTGATAGACTTATTTTTGTGATATTTTGTCACTTTATTTGAAATCTAGTCGTATTTGTCTATATCTCATATTTCAATTTTCAACTATTATATTCTCTGTTTTAGGTACCTATAAATTTAGAGTTTGTACTTTTTAATATATCTAGAAAGAGTAATGCAATCTGACTAAATAAAATTTTATGTTGAATCACAAAAGAAAAAAAATGTTGTCCATAACAGCCGATTTGTCTATAATACATTAATACAATCAGAATTCAAGAATCCAATCATTTTGTTCAAAGACATCAACAAATCTTTCTAAGAATATCAGAATTCAAGTTCTTTAATCTCATCGTTTTCTTTTTGTAAAAAAAAATGCGTCCCATACGAGCTGCCGTGTTACTCTTTCTCGGTCTCATTCCCCAAGGCTGTAGCAAGAAGAAGCTGAGAGAAAAGCGTATACCTTCTTCCTTTCAGGATTCCTCTTTATGAAACTCTGTTGCAGTATACACTATATCCCACAGAGCTTCCCAAAAATAAAGCCCATACCGCACCACAAACGGGGCTGTGAACTTGATGACGCTCCTTGCGCATCTTTCACTGATCAGTACAAAATTGTTTCCTAACCGATCGGCTACTTAGCCAAAGTAAGAAGTAATTTCGGTTTAAGAACTTCTAAACATACACAGGCACAACTTTAGCTTTCGAAAATATTTCCTTTTCACATTTCCTTTTAATATTTTATTTTATTGACTTAAGTTGGGTTTTCCATTTACTCTGATATATTCAAAATTATACGTAAAGGGAAATCTGATATTTAGATCTACGTTTATTACATAGTTTGGCCGCTAAAAACGGATTATAATTGTACCGAGGAAATAAGTAGTACTCCCAAAGACACTCACGAACTCAGCTTACTACACAGTATTGGTAACACAATACTAATGAGCTTTTTATTTGTCTAATAATGCCTCTTTCCTCGCTTAAGCAGTAACTCCCAACAGTTTCTTCAGGTCCTTCTGCAATTGCGAAACAACGATGTAACAAAGCAATTAGAAACTGAGGCTCTAAACAAAACTCAAGTATTTGATGATTATATGTGATAGAGACATTATTACCTCAATACTGAGAGGAGAAGTAGTTGGCGCGTAACGGTCAACAACATTTCCATCTTTGTCAACCAAGAACTTAGCGAAGTTCCACTTGATGCCGTCTCCAAAAAGCCCGCCTTTGCTTGATTTCAGAAACTTGTAGATTGGAGCAGCTTTGTCACCGTTCACATCAACCTGTATTAGTGCAAAGGTAAAAGAATCAAGTCCAAGTAGAGATCTGAAAATGATTCACTGATACTGAAAGAGCTTGAATTCTTGGTTGTAGTTTGAAACACAGAGTCACCCATTTTGAACGAAAAAGTTATTAGTTTCAACTACATGATCCAAAAATGGTTCAATGATACTATTAGAGCTTGCAACATTCTCACATATCATGTCTGAATGAATTTGAGATAGTGGACAATTGAAAAGTGCTACCTCATCTCGAGGGTTTACTCAAGAAATGCGAAAAACTACGAAATCGAAACTAAATAACTTCTTCATTCAAAATGGGATTACTCTTGTTTCAAACTAAAACGAAGAACTAGTATATCCCAAGATGTTAAAATACGACTGAACTAGAAAGAATCACAGAACAAGAAAAGTTGCTACCTTGTCGAAAATCGGGTACTCAGCCTTGAAACGAGTACAAGCAAACTGAACAATCTCTTCATTTGTACCAGGCTCTTGATTCCCAAACTGATTACACGGGAACGCAAGAATCTCAAACCCTGAATCAAAAATCGTAACCATCAACAACAAACAAAATCACAACCCATGATTACAAACAAACAAACAACTAGTAATTATATACCATGGTCTTTGTACTTCTCATAAAGCTGTGCAAGCTCAGTATAGTTCGAATTAGTCAAGCCACTGCATGAAAATTCAAACACCAAAGAAACTAAGTCACTAACCAATGAATTTATGATCACAAATCAAGCCTGTGTGTTACACAAATATCGAAGTTTTACCATTGAGAAGCAACGTTCACAATCAAAAGAACCTTCCCCTTGTAGATGCTTAGATCAACATCGTTTCCCTTAGCATCCTAATTCAATTCCAGACTCAAATCGTTCAAAATCGGATCACAAATCCAATCAACAAACACAAATTTCCGATCTAATAAAAGAAATTAAAATCGAACCTTGACGGTGAAATCGTAGATAGATTTGGGTTCGGAAGAAGTAGCCATTGAATGTTCCGATCTAGAAAGTTTAGCACCCGTTGTAGAGATTGGAAGAGAAATAATCCGATGAGAATTGAAAAGTGGTTTCGCAGAATCGAATCGTTTTGATGAAGATGATGATGATGATGATGATGATGATGATAAACTTCGAAGGAGAGGACTGGTTCTTCTTATATAGAGAAGTCGAATTGAGGATCGAAGCATTTGCAAAACAGAAGATTCGTTTCTCACAGAATTTAGATATTTATTTTGTTGGAGTCAAAATATCATTTAGCCTCATGATCCGTGTTCAGTGGTTGGAGAATGGAATTGACACGTGGATGTTTGAGAGGAAGACACGTGGATGTTTGAGAGGAAGACACGTGGAGAACAGTCGGTGTGATTACGTCATCAGTTGCGTTTATTGTGGCGGCGTAATGTGAACGCTACTACTGCCTTTTCGATTATATTCTCATATTGGGCCTAAATTTGGCCCATAACTTTTATTTCTATTACTCATTCCTATAATAGTATCAATTATGAAATTTCGAATTAAGTGTGAAATTAAAATATGCTTCACAATTTGGAGTTACTAGATAATGGAATCTAGAAGCTCACAAAAAGACAACATTTTAATTTAGACGAATTTCGTGTCTAGTTTATACCAAATTAGGAATCTTGGACTCACTGATCCTTTCTCTGATTTTTCTAGAGCTATATCTTGAAAAGGAAACACTAATGAATACCATATAGCAATCCAAAATCTTAGACGTTTTCAAATGAACAAACTGTATATAAAATAAATCCAGGTTCCAAATAATAACATAATCAAATCTATACCCGACAATGACATGTAAGGGACTTAAAGCTAAAGCATACTATCCGTTCGAGCAGGTAACCGGCGGAAGAAGTTAACCGGAACAGAAGGAAGCCGGTGTCGGAACCTCGGATGCCTCATCGTGAAGAAACCAGCCAACGCTACAACAATCTGAATTGGTGTTATGAAGAAAACAATGGCTGCAAGAAAGCAGAATATAACAAATATCGCGGTCGCGCGTGGATCTCTCCAGCTTAAAAGTGCTTGAAAACGTTCTCCTTGTGTTGCAAGATCTCCAATCACGGTCTGAATCCTCCCGGCCACGCTTCTTAGCCGGTCGTACCTTAACCGCACCATGTCAGGGTTTCTTGTGGTTGGAAACGTGTCAAACTCTTCGTCAAGCTCGTCTGGATGGACCGCCTCTGCTTGAGAGATTTTTGTGTTCATGTGTGGCGGATAACGTGGTCTGAATCGGTAGTTCCAGAGCCCGATCAAAAACATGTAGAGAAACATGGTTGGTAAGATCAGTTCCGGGAGACAAACAAGCATCAGAAACAGAACATGAACGAGAACGGTCGTGATCGGGTTTCTCCACGAGCAAATGTCCGAGAACCATTTCCCAACCGCGATAACGCCAGAGAAAACCGTCATCATCCGGAAGAAATTAGCTTTGCTCTTACGCATACTCCACAAATGTGAATCCGTGTCCGACATAAACTCAATGATCTCTTTCCGCAGGGGAGGCTCTGCTCTACCTAGCCGTGCAGCCACTATATTCACAGCTTGGTGCCGAAGCATGTCCTGCTGCATAACTGAAAACGGTCTTACGTAATGCATTTTAGGCAAAAGTGGTTTTGAGTATTGGTAAAGCATGTTTGCGAACGAGATGCATGTGAACCTCACGGCCATATGCAGCTCGCCCATTTTCTTCACCCCGGTAGGGTGAAGAACGAGGAGCGGATAAGAATGTGTGTAGATCCGTCCAGTCTCTAAAGTAGACAACCTTATGCGAATCTTCCCAATCTTCACATCTCTATTTCCTTTTTCTCCAAGCTGTCCATTATCAAACACACCAACGGTTAAAACTGTCGCTGGATCGAATACTTCCCACGTATACTGCTCGTTATACTTGGGACACAAGTTATCCACCATTGTCCTCGTTCTAACCCACTTTTGGCCATATTTTCCAACACAAAAAGTGTCAGAGGTTCCTCTGCCTTCTCTAGTTTTCATTGGGTGTAGTCCAACAGCGTTTAAGATCCCGAGTTCAAGAACTCCAATCGGTTGTCTCCAGAGCGGTCTCGCGGATGGGCGGAGATCGCTGCTATAGTGTGTCGACTCATCCAAAACATGGTAGCCTCCTTCAAGACAAACTCGGAGATGAATCCTCATAGAGAATTTTTCTCTCTTGAGCTGATCCACATCTACAATAACCGGTCTCTCCAGATTATACCTATCAAAACAAATTTCTATCAAAACCTTTTAATTTTATATATTATGAATCTAGTATCATAAGTAGAAGCATTACCATCGCGCATGTATCATATGGTCATCAGCTCGCTTCTCTACCGTGTTCAAAGGAATGTAAGTACGGCCAACTATCTCGTCCTTTCCTGGAGCAACCCGGTCCTCGACGGTGAGAACCAAATGGTCTTCAAATGGCTCTGCAACAACAAATAAAAAGTCTTCGTTCCATACTGCGCCAAGGGTTCGAGCTTGGCACGGTCTGGTCTTCATGACTTGGTTTCCTAGCTGCGCTTTGACGTAAACATCAGGGAACCTAGTTTTGTCTGTTGGAATTGAGTCTTGTGCTTCGATCACATTCACACGCACGTACCATAGACGAGGCGCATGATAGACCTATTTTTAAAAAACAGTAACACAATAATCAAATTATTTGATTTAGTTTCAACGAAAGCAACGTGACATCAATAAATATTTTAAAACATATTTAGAAGAAAGAAATTAAACATAACCATTTGATATCAAATATTTTTGATAAGTTGCAAACATGGGAACACTTTCTTTTTTCATATGCGTTTAGTGCTTACTACCATTCACACTAAAATTTTTTGGGGTTTTATTTGAATATCGTACCTTTGAGCGAAGAACGGCGGAGATAGCTGGAGAACAATCAACAGGCATTGCAGCATCAGAATGCCAAGCATCAGAGAAAGCTTCATCGGCTTGTGTACCTATCCAAACAGCGAGCATTAGCTCACCTTTGATCTTCTCCCCTTTCTTGTCTTCTAATCTATACCATTGCGGAGCAAGAGGGCTGTCCGGAGGCACACGAAGAGGGACATCATTAATGTCAAACCTAACAAACCCGACATAATCGTCTTTCAAAAGATCTTTGTCCTTAACCACTACTTCCAACACCGAGGCTTGCATTCGCTCTTTCGCAAATGCAAACACTTGGTTCCACTCCGGATGTTGTCTCTTCTCAAAATGTCTTGTGATTCCTTTATAGTTCCCCACTTTAACCTACAAAAACAAAATGTTTTAGAAACAAATTTTTTTATTTGAATAAAATCTTATATAAAACATTACTCAATTAATTACCTCCACGAATGGATCAACACTTCCTGTTATATCCATTATAGGAAGCTCACGAGCTTTGACGACACGAACATAAAGGAAATACATTCTCTCTACAAGATCATAAGTACTTGTAGCGGTTTGGTCCTTGTGGATAACACGCCCACCAACGACTCTTCCACCACCGAGATGCGGGCTTGTTTCCTTAAGCGCGAAATCTGCAGGCTGAGCCGAAGCAATGGAATGCGCATGGACTAGCTTCGAAGGAGGTGCTGGTTCGGGTCTCATCTCGTTTACTTGGTGCTTTGGCACGTAATGGTGATGATGTTCGTTATGATGATCTTGTTCAGCGGCTAAGGAAGAGGACTGGTTATGCCCTTGTGGATGTTGTTGTTGATGTTCTTGAGCACTGTTTGGGAGATTGTAAAACACATGTCGTTTGTCGGATCTATGTTCTACCTTCATTGCTGAAATTGTCACAAAAACAAAATCAATTCCAAGTAAATCACGCTTTTGTTGCTCTAAACAATTATCACAAATATAAATAATTAAGCATATAAAATCAAACTAAACCAAATAAAAATTTTAAATTTTAAATTGAACTAATATTTGTTTATAACTCCATTGTTTTCATTATTTTCTATGCAGAATAAATCGGATCGAAATCGAACAAAACTCAAAATTTAGTGAAATCAAATTGAATTGAATAAACCGAAAAATCTTTATATTAACATTTTTAGTTTTTAACATTTGATTGATTTATATGCTCACTTCCTACTTGTTAAGATTCATGATTACAAAATCATAAAAACAAATACTATATTACTATTTCAAAAGTAAGATATCTTTGATTCAAAAAAAAACAATTGAGGTTTGGCAAAACTGGACCGAAATATTTTGGTTTCAATTAGACTCTCAACTCCTAAAAACCAATATATCGGATCCGAATCGAACCAAAAATATCATATCTCCACCCTAAATTAAAATGGTATATGAAAAATTACATAACATATGGTATCAAAGCTGATCGGTTAATACCTCTTGCCGGATCTAGATTATCTAGATGATCATTAGAAGCAGCAGAGGATTTTAAAGAAGCCTCGTCGGTTATGTAAACTTTCAAGCCGAGCTCACCTCTCACACGAGAGAAGATCCCACGTCTCTCCAAGGGAAAGTGAAGAACAACAGCATCAGAATGAGGAACAAAAGATGTCCCTGAAAGCGATACCTTGCCAAGGAAGGAACGACCATTAGTAGATCTGTTGTGACTATACGCTTGAGCTTCAAGATTGAGATAGTGAAGACGAGATGGATCTGAGATGTTGAAGAAGAAACTCTCATGCCAAACCGGGTTTAAGTCTCGATCTTTGATCGTTGTTCGGTGCTTTTGACCATCGAAGTAAAGCTCAACGTAAGCATTCGATGTTCCTTGCCCATCTTTTGGGAAGAGATTGTGTGCTCCGATCACGTCCACGCCGAGTTTTAGATTGCTCATCATCATGACCGTCGATCTTGTTTTGTTCGATCAAATCGAACACTTAAAAGTGAAGAGAGGCTTAGAGTAGATTCAAGCTCACAACTTCAATTTTGATAAAAGGGTCTTGAAATTATATACTACATATTATAATATTTATTTGCACATGCATATGCATTCATTGGTATATTTTATAGGTTGTGGAGAAACTTAAATAATTTGGGAAAGACCAACTTAGATTTCAAGTAAGGGTAGACAGAGTTTCTTGGGATTTTCTTAAATGTTTCTCATCTTGAAAAAAAAAAAAAAATCAGAACCGACCTTAATGTACATGTACAATAATGCATATTTATGTTATAAATAAATATGATATGGTGTGCCTTAACATATTGACATGAGTTATAACTACGATATGGTGTACCTCAACTAGGGAAAAAAAAAAAAGAAAAACTAGGACCTCATCAACAACCCATAATCAATTTTTTCTTTAAAAGTAAAAAAAAAAAAAAAAAACTACAAAAACCAAATCTATTGTACTGAGTTATAAATGTGAATATAAGAAATAAGGTCAACTCTTTACCCTCTTTTTGTTGATTGGATGAGATGGATTCAGGAAAAGTAATGAAAAACCACATATTATCATCTCCACACATAAATGCAGACGCGTATAAAAGAGGTCAAGATTTCATGCATGCATATAGGTTATACATATTTAATGAATTAAATTGATCCATTATCTAAGGTAAAGATCCTAAAAAAACGCTTATGTCACATGAGTTTGTTTGACTTATAAATTGAGCACAGTGCTCTTATTTCTAAAGATCTAAATTTCCACCAATAGAAAAACTAGTAGCTAGGTCTCAGCAGTAAGTGATATGACTATTAAATGCTATATACATTTATAGGGAAAACGGCTTTTTCATCCCTAAACTAAGATACTTTGGCCAAATCATCCCCCGAACTTTGTATTGTGCTAAAAACCTCCTGAACTAATCTAAAGCTTGAATTACCTACACAAACAAAACAAAAACTAAACGACGTCGTTTTATACATCCACCCAACAAAAGAAAACGACGTCGCATACATCATTCAGACAAATCGAATTGGGGATTTTATTAGGGTTCATCGAATTCTAATTGGGGATGCAAAGTGTTCCGCATTTGAGATAGAGAGAGATCAAAGACTAAGGGTTTCAGGTTAGTGAGAGTCGGGTTTGAGAGAAAAAGAGAACGAAGACAAAGACTTTTGGGTTTGAGAAATAAAGAGAAAGACAGTGACAATGTTCTGGGTTTGGGAGAGAGAGAAATCGAAGACTGTCGAGTTTGGTGGATGTGGATGTGGAATCGACTTTGACGGAGTAGTAATTGAGTTTAGTCGAGTTTGGTGGATGTAGAATCGACTTTGGCGGAGGGGAAATTGGACAGCACAATGAGGTAGAAGCTCTTGCGTTTTCGATTTGGAAGTTGAATTGAATTGCTTTGTTTGAAGTTTTATTTTGCTTGTGTGTCTCTCTATCGTCTTTGCTTGAGTGTCTATGTTCTTCTTCCTTCTTCTTCTTACTTCTTCTTCTTACTTCTTCATCTTACTTCTTCTTCTTCCTTCGCCTTCTTACTTCTTCTTCTTCTTTTTTCATTCATTGTTTCATGAAAAATGATTGAAAATGATTAAAAATCAAAGCTGATTAAAAAGAGGATTAACATATCAAGCTCACGTATCTTCTTTTTTTGTAATCAGGTTTGTGTATTAATTTTATGCTCTGTTTGTATATTCATTTCATATGTTTAAGGTCTGAATTTGTATTCCTTGTTGTTGCTGCAGGATTTTAAGTGTTTGGAGTTTCTGTACTCGGACTATTTTGGATTTTGATTTAGTTTATGTAATATGGGAATTTGATTTATTTTCGGATGTAAAACTCAGATTATGATTCAGATTATGATGTAATTTTGGATTAAATTTGGATTCTATTTGATTATGCATTTTGGAATCAATATGATGTTTTGTTAGAGATTATATTGTTTGCTTAAACAGGTTTGATCAAATTTTGATAATCCCCAATTCAATTTGGACGTCGTTTTTTTTTTGCGTAAGATGTGTAAAACGACGTCGTTTTTGATTGATTGATGATGTGGCATCATAGTCAGCCTTCCATAACGGAACAGTAACAGTGTTACACGATTTGTGGGTTTAGTCCATAATTGTTTTGTTCGTGGAGGTAATTCAAGCTTTAGATTAGTTCAGAAGGTTTTTTGCACAATACAAAGTTCGAGAGATGATTTGGCCAAAGTATCTTAGTTTAGGGAGGAAAAAGCCGTTTTCCCTACATTTATACGAAATACATGTGTGTGCATGTATTTATACGTACACGTATTTTCAGAAGTGGGTCTCCATATTTCACATACAAGGATTTAACCACAGCCCCATCAAAATCATAATCTTAAGACTAAAACCTTTGATCCTTAGTCTTTACATTACATATATATATAATGAAAAATTAAAGATGAAAAACCTTTTTCTTGTCCTCAGAACCGTCGTCATGAGATTGGATTGCCTCCGTTTCCAACATTCAAGCTTGGAACTGCTCAAAATGTTTAAAGCGATAATATAGAGACGTACTAGAGAGAGATAGTGATGGCACGATGAACGAGAGGGTTGATATGAAAATCGCAGATTATGATATATATTTATTTTCTATACATTTTGTTTGAACACGCTACTAATGATCGATGATATCATGCTATTTGTTGATTTTCCAGATAACTATTTCCTCCCTATCATTTTAAATAATGTTCTAGTGAGTTTTTTTTTTTCATTTTAATTAATATTTTTAATTTTTTTTTTTATGTAAATTATGTGTTTTCTTAACTTGTATCTATAAACTTTAAACACTCACTCAAAAGACAAAATGATACAGAGGAAATATTGTTTTTGGTAAAATTGACTATGGAAAACCGTTAATAAATGGTACATTTTGCGTGTGATATCTAAGCAAACAACGTGATATTATGTGAATTAGTTTGTCATAGGATAAAATAACATAAAATTGTTAAATAATATATATATATATCAAAGGATAAAACCTTTGATCCTTAGTCTTTACATTACATATATATATATATATATATATATATATATATATATATATATATATATATAATGAAAAATTAAAGATGAAAAACCTTTTTCTTGTCCTCAGAACCGTCGTCATGAGATTGCCTCCGTTTCCAACATTCAAGCTTGGAACTGCTCAAAATGTTTAAAGCGATAATATAGAGACGTACTAGAGAGAGATAGTGATGGCACGATGAACGAGAGGGTTGATATGAAAATCGCAGATTATGATATATATTTATTTTCTATACATTTTGTTTGAACACGCTACTAATGATCGATGATATCATGCTATTTGTTGATTTTCCAGATAACTATTTCCTCCCTATCATTTTAAATAATGTTCTAGTGAGTTTTTTTTTTCATTTTAATTAATATTTTTAATTTTTTTTTATGTAAATTATGTGTTTTCTTAACTTGTATCTATAAACTTTAAACACTCACTCAAAAGACAAAATGATACAGAGGAAATATTGTTTTTGGTAAAATTGACTATGGAAAACCGTTAATAAATGGTACATTTTGCGTGTGATATCTAAGCAAACAACGTGATATTATGTGAATTAGTTTGTCATAGGATAAAATAACATAAAATTGTTAAATAATGCGTACAAAATCTATGCTACTTAAAATACTAGAATAAACCAATTTTAATTTTTCTAAAAGTATAAAATTTGGCTCCGAGTTATGTCGAGGTCTCAGTCAAAATTAATAATTTAGTTATCAACCCTAGTCCTGAATCCATAAATTTTGGACAAAAAAAATTGCAAAGGTAAGAATTAACATCGTAAAAAAAAAATTAACATCGTAAGAAGTCTTTGGAGATTATTTAGCTGTTTAGTTAAAATATAAAATGTTTTTTAGTGAAGAAATAAATAGTCAACTATCATATGAAGATTTAAGATTTAATCAGTAATCATTATACAAATTGTACAATATTATATTTCTAACTTAATTTGGATTATCCGCTGATCTCATATCATCTCTTCTCTCCACATGTTCTCTTTCTCACCTGTTTTCTAGTCTTCTATAGAGAAGTCAACGTAAAAAAACACATGGGCTAAAGGCATGTGATAGTTTTATTTATTTAGACAAGCAATGCACGACGTTTCTTGTGAAATAAAACAGCGTGACGTTCTTTTTTCTAGCTCCATAACATCGTGCTGTCTTCGAGTAAACGACTACGTCCTCTCGAATCTGCAAATCTGCTATTCCCTGAAACTGGGCAAATTGAAATTCCAAATCCTAAAACCCTAATCTCAAATTTGAGAAATTAGGTTTGTTTTCTTCCTTTCTTTGTCTCAGTTACTTACATTTTTGGGGATTTAATAGTCTCCTTTGTATTGTTTAACCTAAAAATCTCAATTCTTGTGTTTCTGATACTTGAGGTTTATAATCAAAACTGTAATTGAAAACTGCAATGTCGAAGCTTTTTTAATTGTAAAGTTTCAGTCTTTTGCAATTTCTACTATGTTCTTAGTGATTTGTGACAAAATTTAAACTTGACTTCTCTTTCAAGATAACATTTGTAGGTAGACAAAATCTGTGAATTGAGCATAAAGTTACCAAATTTGAAGTTATTTTGGATGATTGAGGAGATGGCTTTTTTTCTGATAAGTGATAATGAAGTTTCTTTGAATGTTCTTGTTTAGTGATGGAAGCAAATAGAGAGAAGTATGCTGCTGATATATCTTCCATTAAGGAAGCTCATGAGCGTATTAAGCCGTTTATACATAGAACTCCGGTGTTAACATCTGAATCGTTGAATTTAATCTCTGGAAGAAGTTTGTTCTTTAAGTGTGAGTGCTTTCAGAAAGGGTGAGGAGACTTCTAATGCTTGATTCGATCAGTGAAGATTCTCTCATTGTTCTCATTTTAGTTTTCTGTTTATTGTGGAAAAAGTGGAGCTTTCAAATTCCGTGGAGCGTGCAACGCTGTTTTGTCGCTTGATGCTGAACAAGCAGCCAAAGGTGTTGTAACACACAGCAGGTTTTGTAAGAGTTTGTTTCCATACTATGAAAGATTAATGCTTTATTGTGTACTGATTTCATTTGTTGTTATAGACAATGATAGAGTTAATAGTGTTTGGATAGTTGATGATACTCCGCAATTGTCTTCGCTTGTTAATCCCTTACTCGGTTACTGTTGAAAGATCAATGCTATATTTCGACTAATTTCATTTGTGCTTATTGGTATTGATAGACTTAAATAGTGATTGAGTTGTTGATGATATTCTGTTATTGTATTGACTTGATTGTCTCTTACTGACTTACTGTTGATTTTGTTGTACCAGTGGTAACCATGCTGCTGCGTTGTCTTTGGCTGCGAAGCTTCAGGGAATCCCGGCATATATTGTTGTACCAAAAGGTGCTCCAAAGTGCAAAGTTGATAATGTGATCCGGTATGGTGGTAAGGTTATATGGAGTGAATCAACGATGTCTTCTAGAGAGACAGTAGCTGCAAAAGTTTTGCAGGAAACAGGTTCAGTTCTGATCCACCCTTATAATAATGGACGCATTATAAGGTATTCTGCTTTCTCGATATTGGTCTTTCAAATGTCTGGTACTCACTAGAGCCTGCTTTGTTGGCTAGAAAAAACAAAAATTTCAATCTTTGGAAACTCCTCCAAAATGTAAGTTATTTTACCTTATGGGAAGTCTAAAGCATATTAGAAAAAGCATCTCTGTTTTCATAAGGGCTTCTCTGTTCTTTTATGGGATAACTTCCATTTTTCTGCCATAAATGTGTTACTGGTGAAACTGTTTAGTGATTTTTACTAAAAGTTTGAATTATGGTTCTTGTAACAGTGGTCAGGGTACAATTGCATTGGAACTGCTCGAGCAGATCCAAGAGATTGACGCTATAGTTGTGCCGATAAGCGGGGGTGGTTTGATATCTGGTGTGGCTCTTGCTGCCAAATCAATTAAGCCTAGCATTCGGATTATAGCCGCTGAACCAAAAGGAGCCGATGATGCGGCTAAGTCTAAGGTTGCGGGTAAAATCATCACTTTACCTGTGACCAATACCATAGCGGATGGCCTTCGAGCTTCTCTTGGAGATTTAACCTGGTAATCTACTTCTTACTCGTATAGGAATCATGTCTCTATGGCGCAGATATAGAACATAAAAGGGTTCGAAATCTTAATCATGACTTCTAATAATGTTTTTTCTATTAGGCCGGTTGTCAGAGATCTAGTAGACGATGTGATAACCTTGGAAGATTGCGAAATAATCGAAGCCATGAGAATGTGCTATGAGATACTGAAGGTCTCTGTGGAACCAAGTGGGGCTATTGGTCTAGCAGCAGTATTATCAAACAGTTTCCGTAACAATCAATCTTGGCGTGATTGCAAAAACATAGGAATTGTACTCTCAGGAGGTAATGTTGATTTGGGCTCTCTATGGGATTCATTTAAGTGTTCAAAGTAAACACCTTTGCTTATTGCATTTGTTTCACTACTTCCTTAGATATCAATGAGAATTGTTGTATGCTCCACTGCTTCATTATTATCCATTAAGTTATTGATCTTATGATTACATGCGTACGCATATCTACGTACACACTTACACACATACAAGAGAGACGAGTCTCTTAATTATTATTGCTCCTTTGTAACCAAATAACTATCTGGGTCACTCGGGAGCTGGTGAGACTCGTAGCACCGAGCTTAGCGCCTAAGGACAAAACACGACCCTGTAGTTAGTGGAACTACAAGTGAAAGTGCTTGTCGGGTCGTCTTGTGGATAGCTGTAGGCGTCGGGGCACCTCTGTTTGAAGAATCTTGAGAACCCAGTGCTGCTACATGAACCTTGCCCGTTTGTACAGCAGTACTGGTTCGTCTTATAAACTGTGCACGGGTTGTTGCAACCGCCCGGGGCTCAATTCGTTCGGGCACTGGCCTTTTATGTCCGCATTGCATAGTATGCGGTGGCAATTCGAGCTTGTTGGGCTGCAAACAATACACCAAAAAAAAATTATCATTATGTTATCAACGACAAAGAAAATGTTTTTGTGAAACTTTCATATTTACGAAAAGATTATATACGGTGATCTTCTTACCTAAACTCATTGGAATGTTAAATCCATCGACAAGTGAGATGTCGTAGAAGTCTAAGTTATTGTATTGGTTCAAAGCGTACTCAGCCAACGTGTTTGGAGGCTGGCCCCAACCAGTACATTGAAGTCCACCATTGCAATCACCGGTTTCGCATCGGCCACGGCCCGAGGAGTCAAAGTTACAGTTGGTCCGACCCCAAATACGCGCCATTTTTGTCCCGGCAGCGACATCTAGCCTCCATGACTGGCCGGGATTTAGATGCCGGCCACCTCCGGGGCTAGCGGCGGCCCACACGGTGTAGCTACATCGGTTAAGGATATCGAATGTGGCAGCCGTCGCGGTGGAGATGAGGAAAATGATGGAGAATATGAACTTAATTAGAGTGTGAGATGTTTGCCATTTCTTGTTGGTTCTACTACTTTTGTATGTGTGATCTTTTGTTAATATATACTAGAAATTAACCCGCGGTACACCGCGGGCCTATAATTTTACTAAATAATAAAATTAATTTTTCTTTTTCAGGTTGAGAGCCCGCGGTATACCGCTGGAAATATTAATTTTACATGTTGTGACATTGATTTTAATATTGTATATTTTTAGTAGAGAAAATTGTGTAGTGTATGAAAAAATGATAAATTGTTTACAATAAAAATCTGTCATATTAATTATGATTTAGCAGTAAAATGAAATTTTGAAATCTTGGTAATGAATGTTTTAGGGGTAAGGAAAATACTATGTTTTTAGGAAAACATATACTTAGACACGCCACACGCGTTTGTATTAAACAGATATCAAAACAAAAAAAAGAATTAAAATCGTAGAAACATTACATCATTAATAGAAAATAGAGAATACACAATGAAAATAAAAATTAGATTGCTCAAAAACTGAAGCATAGATGCTGAGATATCAAAACAAAAAAAAAGAATTAAAATCGTAGAAACATAACATCATTAATAGAAAATAGAGAATACACAATGAAAAATAAAAATTAGATTGCTCAAAAACTGAAGCATAAATGCTGAGAGAAGTTTGTGTGGATGAATGAAAAATGATTTGCCGAATAGCAGAGCCTATATTTATAATGTTTAGAATTAGGTTGCTTTATTAGGGTTTTAAGAAAAGCATATTCTGCAAAATATTCTATAAGTAATTAGCGTAGATATGCTATAGTTAATCGCATCAGAATATCTAAACGAAATTAATTTTAGTTTCTATCGTTAAAGATCTTAACATATTTGATTTGCGCTTTCGCAATTTTTATAATTTTGCAGTAAACCAACTTTATGACTTTCCATAGTTCAAGATCGTAGAGAATATTTGATGGTTAATCTGATAATTAGAAGATTCTATATATCTTAGCGAAATTTTTTCCCTAAATAACGAAGAAGTTACCATATACTTCGGAATTGTATTTGTTGATTTAATATTCGATTTTAAATTGAATAATTTACATAGAAGTTACCATACAAGTCCGGTAAGGTTTCTTATTTTTGCTGTCAAAAATACTCATATATCCGATTATCATTATTTCTATCAAAAATACCCAATTTATTAACTACATTTATTTTATAATAATTCAAAATAATATAAATATAACATCAAATAAAAGTGAAATGAGAATTATATAATTCTGTTTAAATTAGGTCGAGAGATTGTAAAAAATTAGCTCAAATTTGTTAATTAGCATTAACTCATCATATTTTATATCTTTTTCTGTAAAAATCGTGAAGAATATATGTCATAAATAAAGAGTTTAGATATAGAAATAGTTAAAAATATAGATATTTTTAGAGTTTATAAATTAATTTCGTTTTGGATATTGCCAAAATTTAAAGAAAGATCCAATTGAATATTTTTGCTCACAAAAAAAAACCTACCCATAAAGATTAAAATTTAGGATTATAGTTATTTCAAATTTTAAACTAATTTAGATTTTATAATTTTCATAAATACGAAAATAATTTGTTCACCTATATCAGAAAATATAACTAAAACAAATTACGTAATATTATATAAAAATTTAAAATAAATAACTATTTTCATTTTATGGTGTAGACAAATTATTATTAGTATTTATGTAATTTAGTTTCAAAAATAATTTAGAAAAATAACAAACATTAAATTTTATAACAAAACAAATTATTTTCGTAAGAATTTGTCCCCAAATTAATATTTACAAAATATTTATTTTAATCACATATTCTTTCTATATAAAAATAAGTAGTTAGATAATTATGGTTAGAAGTAGTTAAGGTAAATAACAAATATGGTTAGTTTAGAGATATCATATATATATATATATAACAAATAAGATTATTTACCATTAAAATAGGTAACTTATTTGTTTTGTTATACGCATATTCTCTTAAAGAAAATTAATAATTAGGTGTGGGGAGAAGTTAAGGAAATTAACAAATATGAATTAATAAAAGAATTAATTTCGTTTTAATATTGCCATAAATTTTTTCAGTTTGAAATTAATAAAGGCTTCATTTATTAGTTTGAAATTAAGACAACATCCCTAAAATTGCTTATCCAAGATCCGAATAGACTAAAACCGGGTCAAACCCGGATCCAAAAGAATTAAAGCAAAAAAGTACTGTAAAAATGTATATGTAGATGATGGTTTTTAAACTGAGGTAAGTGGTTATTTCTGTAATTTTGAACCTATGTGATTTTCAAACTGATATGATTACAATCCAAGTTATACGTTAGAAATTTTAAGTAACGTGGATTTCTTCTCTTCATGATGTTAGTGGCACTTGGCCACAATCCACTAGGCCAAGCCCGATTACAAAGAGTTCACTTAGAGTAACTTCTTCCAAGTCAATTTGAGCTCCAATGCATAATCACTTACCTTTATTTGTACCAATTTTATCGATTGGGAGACTTGAACTATGTTATTGACTAACGCAAAAGTCTTGTTTCTAGATTGGTGTGTTTAGGGTAAACTACTAGTGATTTTTTTTTTTGTTTTCATAAGAGATCAAAACTCAAATCACACAAGGTTTGGAACTTTTTAAGAAACCGCACAAAATGAAATTACTCATTCTCAACCACACCAATTTTGAAAACTCAGTCTCAAACCGTTTTGGACCTTTGATTATTCAAATGCACACCATAACTTTAAATTAAAAAAAAAAATCTAATACTCAACATCCTAACCTTGGAAATTTAAAATTAAACCAAACTCCTTGAAAAAATAATAATAGTTATGTAACATTGTTTAGCAAAAGAAAAAAAAATAATAGTTATGTAATACCCGTCTCCCTTAACCTAAAAGATGGGATGCCATATTTCTAGGCCTTCCCGTTTATTCATTTTTTTTTTGTAAAACTTGGTTCTTAGCTGTACTTTCACGAACCCTCTTTATTAAAAACCATTAAATTAACCAGAGGTCGATATTTCCACTAAAAAGATACCTTAAAACTTTTTCAGAGGTCACGAGATCAAGTGGCAGCTGGTACGGGTAATAATATTAAAAGTTGGCATGGACGTAGGGATACATATGGAGTTCAGCCCATAAATTTCTAGTTTAGAAAAAAAAAAGAAATTAAAATAAAAAACCCATCAAATTAAACTTGTCTGTCATACAATTCTTAAAAAGGTAAAATAGTTATTGTGTAAACTCACTAATGCTAATTTAAAAAATTTATGGAGTGTGTGCAATATAATTGTCAGTAAAACTTATTTTAGTGTTTTTTTTTTTCCAACAACTTAAATAGTATTAGAAAGACTCATAAAGCCAATTCGGGGGAACATTAATTGTTTACGTACATAACGAGTTGTGGGGAAACATGGGCATTCCTTGCTAATCTATCTGATTTTACATTGCAATTACGAGAAATTAAAGATAAAAAAAAGTTTAAAAACATTTTCGTACTCTTATCTACTTATTTTAGTGTTAGTTTAGGGTATTTCTTCTCTTTTTTTTTGTCTAGGTATTTCTTATTTTAAGAATTTTTTTTGTTTGACCAAAAAAAAAGAAAGATCTTCAATCTATCTACTATACATTTTTGCAGCAGTTTTTGGGGTACCCAAATCGGGTCAAATTTGTTTAATTTTGACCCGGAAATCTCCAATCGGATCTTTCCTTAAATTTTGGCAAAATTAAAAAACGAAAATAATTAATAAAATCTAAAATATATATACTTTCTCAACTAATTACTATATTTAAACGCTTTATTTATGGTATATTCTCCACGATTTTTATAGATAAAGAAATCAAATATGATGATTTAATGCTAATATAACAAATTTGCACTAATTTCCTAAAACCTCTCTACCTAATTTAAACATAAATATATGATTCTTATTTCACTTTTATTTGATCTTATATTTATATTATTTTAAATTATTATAAAATATATAAATAGTTAGTAAATTTTAGTTTTTTTTCTGCATATGTTACAATTCAAATTTTTTAAAACGGACATATATTACTCAATCGATGAATAAAAATATGTGTGTAATCTATATTAACATTTTTAAGAACAAATTGAGCATTTAATCATGTCGTTATTTTATTCAGATCTGAAATTGAGTCATTCGGATCTTTCTTTAATTTTTACAATTATCTAAAATGGAACAGTATATCACGGGTGAAATCCTAATTAGTATTTTAAGATACAATTATAAATTGTTTTTACGGGTTGGTCCAAAAACACACACTAATTTAAAAATATACATGGAAACTATTTGAAAGCAACTTTCAAATTAACTCGAATTATATGACATTTAAATAAAAGTGTTATTAAAAAAATAACAAAATGATGTTTAATTTCATTTTAGATTATATGGTTGGACGGGTTTGGGTCAATATTAATACGAGACAATATACCACAGGTGAAATCCTATAAATAACAAATCAAAATACAATTATACAATCTTAAACACTAAACAAAACAAATACAACTTAAAAATTTTTATTTTAGATACAACGCATGTGACCCGCAGTATACAACAAAAAATATTATACACAATAAATTCATCAATTTATAAAAATAAAAAAATCAAATAATTAACCCGCGGTGTACCGCGGGTCATATCCTAGTTCTTTTTAAATATAGAAGTACTAGGGGAGGTCCCCGCGCCCGGCGCGGGGTTGTATGTTGATTAAAACCAGATTTAATCATTTAGGGTTATAAGTTTTAGACAATTATTGATTTAATTTTGTCAAGAGTATAATTTTTATAACGACATTAATATAAAATTATGGTAAAACGCCATAACGTTTGATATATTATTGCGAGAAAATAGTGATTATTATCCTCTGAATATAGTAAAATGCAAAACGGAAAACTAAAATCATTAGAACCAGAAAGTATAAATTTAGTAGTCTTGGTTTGCTCATCAACAACCAAAGATAATCAAAATATCAAAATTGGATGTGTGACATTTGTCCTTTCTTCTTGTTGGAAAAGATATCTCGCATCCTCGTTACATCATGACAAGAATGATTGAATAGAATCTGCGAACACTTGTATGAAGCAGTACCTCTTCGTGTACCTTAATTATCAAAGGAATATAGTTTCAATGTCTCAAACCCCAACAATACATGTTAAATAACAAAACCAAAACAAAATACTTTCATCAATACATTGCCTCCACTCAGCGAAAAATTTATTGACATAAAACCACGGTAGTCGATACCGGAGACGCTCACAACTACAAACAACAGAAATTTCGAAGGTACCAATAGTTCTTGACTTCGAATTTAATAATGTGACAATGACAATAATGTGACATCGACAATATTATGTTAACTTACAAAATCCTTCAATTTTTACAAGACATTGAAGTTTAAAGATTATGTTCATTTGGAAACTCCTT